AACAGATCGTAATTGCTCGAATACGCGCCATGTCAAACGTGATTTTTTTTTCGTCAAGCGCCGCGGCGCTTATTCATTACTCTATATTACCATGTGTGGATTGAAACACTTTGAGAAACAGGGTTTTAAGTACAATGCATACAGTGTTAATCATAATAAATAATACAATGAAGACACAAGCATTTCTTTATAAATATTTATTTACAATGATAGGACCTACCGAACTACGAGAATACGTGGAATACGGTAGGTAACATGAGAGCAGGCATGGAAAGCGCCACGCCCATGTTTTTTATAAGCGCCGCACTGAAGTCTTTAAAAATTGTATATATATAGTGCCGCTGTGCTTATTCGAGCATTTACGGTAAGCGTAAAACATTAGCACTTTATTTCATCAATCTTAGCGTGAGCCTTCCAGTAGCCTGTTTCAAGGGTGATCTACATCAACCCGGGGTCCGCGGACTCCTTATGGTCCGAAAAATACAAATGGGGCCCGCCAATACAAAAAGGGTCCGGAGGGGTACTCGATAATGTAGGGGTGGTCAAATTCCATTAATATTTCTCGTCTTACAACAGTTTCACTGCTATTAAATCATTAGTAGCCCTATCAATTATGAAATAGCTTCGATGTACTTTGTGGCAAATCATCTTCTACTATTATCAAGCTATTGGTCAGAGGCGGACCCCTCATTTTCCACCAAAAAAATAAACCCAAAATTATAAATCTGACAGACACATACAAATAATGAAACAGCTTGAAAACGTAGGTATAAATAGGAGATGACCAGTGGCGGATCTAAGAGGTGAATATGGTGCCTTGCCACCCCACCTTTCGGTTACCGAAAAATAATGGTCACTCCTCTTGTGTGTGTGCTTTTCACGTATGCATGTTACATGTAGTTGGCTACTCTTGTAACACATACACTTTCTATTTTAAGCTTAACTTCTTTTCAGATGTCATCCAAGATCGTCTAGCCGTCTACTAATTTAAAAAAAATCTCAAATGAAAGGGGACCCTCCTCCCAAATCCCATGATCAATCATTTCAAACCCATGATTAATAACTTAAAAAGTCAGGAAGATGCCTGAAATTTCTTTAAATGAACTGCATAAACGACCCAGTTTTTAACGAAAGTGTGCTGTACAACGGGTACTCTATCCCTGCCCACAAACATCTGAATTACTTACAATACACGACTCGAGTGCGCGTGTCTTTATTGTAATTTGAGAAGTAGGAAAAAGAAGCGTGTAATACTAATAATAATAAGATTGGTTTTCAGCAGAGAATAGGTAAAGTAAGTTAAAAATACATCAGACAATTGAGTTTATCTTTAATGGAACATCACTTCGATTATAGATCGATGATGATTTCTGGCATTCTAGATGTACTATTTCCCCAAAATATTCCCACCTCAGCCCATAATTATGTTATGGACTAAAGTAGGTCTGTCTCTTATACACATCTAGATGTGTATAAGAGACAGCCTAACACACATTTCATTACGTTTGACGTTAAAAAAGGTAGTTTGCAGAATAAAGTGTATTCACAATTTAAATTTATATATGTATAACTTGACGAAATTGAAAGTTGTCATGGTCTTGATCTATACGGGTCTTCGCAGGAAGTATCTGACTGTTGCTAATTGAAAACCGTGAAGTAAAACCATGGTAAATTGCCGTGGTAGAAGTAGAAAACCGCCATGGAAGAATAAAACGCCGCTTGTAAAAATGGCGGTTAGTAGCTACCAGGCGATCTTTGTGAAGAGGCAATAAACAAGAGAAAGTCTCAAAACGTATTTTTTTGTGTTTGTATTGTTTTATATCAGTATGGCTATATATATATATATATATATATAT